CCGACATGTTTCCCGATGTGTGCTTACGTGCGCAGATGAACTTGACGCACTCTGCACGTGCCCCGAACGTGGCGCACATGGCTCGGCTGGACTGCGCGGCGCATCTGGCACACCCGGAGCATATATGGCGCATCTGGCGCACCAGGCGTGCCTGGCACGCTCGGGCCCCACGGGCGCTTGGCGCGCGCAGCGCCCCTGGCAGCGTGGCGCACCTCGCCCAAGCGTTGCGCACCTGGGGTCGGTTTTGGTTCCCAATGGCTGCCCATCCAAAGACGACCGCTGAACATGTTCAGGCGCGGATATTAGTTATGTGTTGGGAGGGCGGGTGGGAGTGAGCTGGACGGCATGCGGGCGGGCGGGTAGCTTGATCATTGTTCCTTCTTAATAGACACCCCCTCCCCCAAGCAACCGGGGGCCAACCAGGCACCATGCCGACACCATGCCGACCCGCCCCCCGTCACCCCTGCAAGAAACAATACAAACCGCACTCGGCCTCCACATTTGGAGTTTGCGCGGCCAACCCGACGCGGCCCCCACACGCCATCCCTGTCAAAAAAACCGTGCACATTACAACTAGGGGCAAAGAGTCATGCTCGTGAGACCCGCGAGCACTTTTGATTGTTTTTGACAGGGACGGCGAAGGTGTCAGCATACTCCCTGCTGCGCGCAGGCTACCATCCCGGATAAACAAAAACAAATACACCTCGTGGCTCAATCTGGATCATGCGCGGCCATCCCCTGATCACTGTCAAATGGTTTCTGACAGGGACGGCGCGGGGGTGGTGGCGCGTGGACTGCGGCGCGCAGGCCCACCAGACACAGTGATGGGCATCGGTTTTCGACAAGGATGGTGGGCGCCGACATGTTTCCCGATGTGTGCTGTCACATGCGCATGCGCACCTGACGCACTCTGCACGTGCCCCGAACGTGGCGCACCTGGCGAAGCTGGAGTGCGCGGCACACCTGGCACACTCGGAGCAGGTGGCGCATCTGGCGCACCAGGCGTGCCTGGCACGCTCGGGCCCCAAGGGCGCCTGGCGCGCGCAGCGCCCCTGGCACGCGTGGCGCACCTCGCCCAAGCGTCGCGCACCTGGGGTCGGCTTTGGTTCCCAATAGCTGCCCATCCAAAGACGGCCGCTGAACATGCTGAGGCTCGGGTGTTATTTATGTGCAGGGAGGGCGGGCGGGAGTAAGCTCGACGGTTTGCGGGCGGGTGGGTAGATGGATCACTGTTCCCAATTCATATACACCCTTTCCCCCAGGCGACTGGGAGCCAACCCGAGTCAATGAGGGCACCCCCCACTATCCCTTGTAGGATAACCAATACGAACACACAGTCTGCGTCCAAATTCGGAGCATGCGCAGCGAACCCGACGCGGCCTCCCCCCTCCATCCTTGCCAAAAAAAAAAAAAAAAAACGAATACACTTGGCCGCGGCGGGGGCAGCGGCTGCGGCGGCTGCGGCGGTGGCGGCGGCGGTGGCGCGCGGCGGCGGGGCGGCGGCGGCGGCGGCGGCGGCGGCGGCGGCGGCGGCGGCGGCGGCGGCAGCAGTGGCGGCAGCGGCTGCGGCGGCAGCGGTTGCGGCGGCGGCGATTCGGCAACGGGGGCGGCGGCGGCGGCGACGGCGGCGGCGGCGGCGCGGCGGCGGCAGCAGTGGCGGCAGCGGCTGCGGCGGCAGCGGCTGCGGCGGCGGCGATGCGGCAGCGGGGGCGGCGGCGGGCGGCGGCGGCGGCGGCGGCGGAGGCGGCGGCGCCGGCGGCGGATTCGCCCCCAGTAGTTGCCCATCCAAAGACGACTACTGCATACGCTGCTGATCGGGCCAGGTTCGGGCGCTGCGCATGTGTTGGGCGGGCGGGCGGGCGTGAGCGAGACGGCTTGCGGGCGGGGAGGGCGTCTTGACCCCTCCCCCCACCCCCTCCCCTGGACCTGAACGGGGCCGGCCGCGAGGTGTCAGAATCGGTTTTACTCTGGTTTGGGCCCCATTTTAACCTTTTGGGGGGCGGGGGGGGGCTAGTCAAAGCCCCCCTCTTGTTTGATCGATTTCCTCCTAGATGGCCCAGAGAAGGCCCCCGAGGCTCCCAAGGACGTGCACACAGCAACGCAGTATGGCAACCAAACGCTGCTACATTCTAAGAATCCTAAGGTTTCCAAAGGCAGCTGGCCACCAAACACTGCCGTGCCCTTAGAGTTCTAAGATTTCCAAGACCCCCGCGACATTGCGGGCCCGCCTGGGGATGGTCGCGGAAATCTTAGTTAGAAATCTCAGACATGTCAATTACTCCGACGGAAGGACCCCACATAATAATATGTTTCGCGTGCCCTTCTCCCTTTCCCCCTGGCCACGGCAAACACCCCCTCCTCTCGCCCTCCCCTCTGCCCTCTCTTTTCCCTCCTTCTTCTATTCCCCCCTTCCCCCTCCGTCTACCCCCCCCTCTTCCTTCTCCACCTCCTCCTTCTCATCGCCCTCCCCCATACCCTCCCCCCCCCCATCTTCCCCCTGCCGCTTCTCTACGTGCACCCCCCCCTCCCCGAGAGACGGAACGGCATCTGGCGCCCCGGGCTTCGCCTACCCGGGCGGCACAGGCCACATCTCCGCCACGCTCACGCGCGCCACCCCTCTCTCTCTCTTCCATCCATTCCGTAGCGCGAAGAGCACCCGAGCGGATTGCGGCAGTCTCTCCGCCGTGGCCGGCCCGACGTGGGCCACGACGCTCTTCCCGGCGGCTGCATAGAGGTCCGCCGGGAAGGCGCCCACCCCTGGAAGATACACAACTGACGCGACGAGCTTGCCAGGCCTGGCCTCCTGCCCCTGGCCTCCTGCCCGGGGCGGCAGGAGGCGCGTCCTCAGCACCACGCCCATGCGGGCGGCGTCGCGATGGACTAACTGGCCCTGGCCGGAGGGGGGCGCGCCCCGGAGGCGCTGGGGCGCCACCACGAGATCCTCTGCCATGAGAACTTCGAGGGCGCACGCGCCCTCCAAGATCTTCCCTCGGACGTGAGACGGGGCCACCGTGCGCGGCAGGAGGACCGCGACACGCTCGACGAACTTGCCCACGCGGCACGGCCCGCCCGCGCAGTGGTCTCCCCACGCGTCGGAAAGCCTGCCGGCCAACTCGCCGGCGAAAACCAAGCCCGCGTGGAAGGGGACGATGTCGCCGCCGTGAGCAGCGCGCAACGCGGCCAGCCGCGCAAACTCAACGTCGAGGAAGGACAGAAAATCAGGGACGAAAGTCGCCCAGAGACCTTCGAAGCCGCCGCGGCCGCCGCCACCGCCCAGAGCCGTGGCGGCCCCCGGATTGGCGGCCGCTGGAGCGGCTGCCGTGTGCGGCAGGCCCTCCATCTGTGGAGGTGCCGCCGCAGCTCCGCTCGACGCGGCCTGTCGCTCCTGGGCGCGGCGCGCGCGCATCCGGCTGCCGCCGCCCATTATGCGATCGAGGGCGAAGCCTTGTGTCTGAGTGGGGAAGCGAATGCAAAACGCGCGGAGCTCGAGCACAAGCCTGGCGGAGATAAGTACGGTGATTAGGATGTTCTCAGGAGGCACATGTTTCAAAGCAAATCATGGCTACAACATCATCATCATCATCATCATCACCACCACCACCACCATCATCATCATCATCATCATCAGCATCATCCTCATCATCGCAACTAGCACCATCATCGTCATCAACATCATCGTCGTCGTAGTCGTCGCCGTCATCGTCGTCGTCATCATCATCATCACCATCATCACCATCATCATCGTCGTCATCGCCGTCGTCTTCGTTATCGTCATCAGCGTCGTCGTCATATTCGTAGTCATCGCCATCGTCCTCACAGGGCATATCGGAGCCCAGAGTTGCGAGGATGTCTAAAGTGAAAGTGGCCTGAACATCTGAGCTCAAGGCATATCGCAACCCAGAGTTGCCAAGATGTCTCGGGCGATAGCGCCCGGCCACCATGGGGCAGGGCACCGCCGAGGTCCGAGGACGGAGGATGTCTCACGCGTAAATGGCCTGAACACCTGAGCTCAGGGCATATCTGAGATCGGAGTCTCGAGGATGTCACAGGCGGGAGCGGCCAGACCACTAAGGGGCAGGGCATATCCGAGTCAACGTGGCGAGGATGTCTCAGGCGCGAGTGGCCTGAACACTTCACTTCAGGGCGTCTCGGAACCCAAAGTTGCGAGGATGTCTCAGGTGAAAGTGGCCGGGCCACCACGGGGCAGGACACTTCCGAGGTCAGAGCTGCGAGGATAGCTCACGCGAAAGCGGCCTGAACGCCTCACCCCAGGGCGTGTCGGTACCCAATGGGCCACCGTGGGGCAGGGCACCTCCGAGTTCAGAGTTTCGAGGATGTCTCGGATCAGGTCAGGGCGTCTCGGAACCCAGAGTTGTGAGGACGTCATCGTCGTCGTCATCGTTATCGTTATCAGCGTCGTCGTCGTCGTCATGCCTGTAGTCATCTTCATTGTTCTCACAGGGCATATCGGAACCCAGAGTTGCGAGGATGTCTAAAGTGAAAGTGGCATGTTCTCAGGAGGCACCTGTTTCAAAGCAAATCATGGCTACATCATCATCATCACCACCACCATCATCATCATCAGCATCATCCTCATCATCGCAACTAGCATCATCATCGTCATCAACATCATCGTCGTCGTAGTCGTCGCCGTCATCGTCGTCGTCATCATCATCATCATCACCATCATCACCATCATCATCGTCGTCATCGCCGTCGTCTTCGTTATCGTCATCAGCGTCGTCGTCGTCATATTCGTAGTCATCGCCATCGTCCTCACAGGGCATATCGGAGCCCAGAGTTGCGAGGATGTCTAAAGTGAAAGTGGCCTGAACATCTGAGCTCAAGGCATATCGCAACCCAGAGTTGCCAAGATGTCTCGGGCGATAGCGCCCGGCCACCATGGGGCAGGGCACCGCCGAGGTCCGAGGACGGAGGATGTCTCACGCGTAAATGGCCTGAACACCTGAGCTCAGGGCATATCTGAGATCGGAGTCTCGAGGATGTCACAGGCGGGAGCGGCCAGACCACTAAGGGGCAGGGCATATCCGAGTCAACGTGGCGAGGATGTCTCAGGCGCGAGTGGCCTGAACACTTCACTTCAGGGCGTCTCGGAACCCAAAGTTGCGAGGATGTCTCAGGTGAAAGTGGCCGGGCCACCACGGGGCAGGGCACTTCCGAGGTCAGAGTTGCGAGGATAGCTCACGCGAAAGCGGCCTGAACGCCTCACCCCAGGGCGTGTCGGCACCCAGATTTGCGAAGATGTCTGAAACGAAAGTGCATGGGCCACCGTGGGGCAGGGCACCTCCGAGTTCAGAGTTTCGAGGATGTCTCGGATCAGGTCAGGGCGTCTCGGAACCCAGAGTTGTGAGGACGTCATCGTCGTCTTCATCGTTATCGTCATCAGCGTCGTCGTCGTCATACTTGTAGTCATCTTCATTGTTCTCACAGGGCATATCGGAACCCAGAGTTGCGAGGATGTCTAAAGTGAAAGTGGCCTCAACACCTGAGCTCAAGGCATCTCGCAACCCAGAATTGCCAAGATGTCTCGGGCGAAAGTGCCCGGACACCATGGGGTAGGGCACCTCCGAGGTCAGAGTTCGAAGATGTCTTAGGCGGAAGCGGCCAGACCACTCAGTGGCAGGGCATATCCGAGGTCAACGTTGCGAGGATGTCTCAGGCGGCAGTGGCTTGAAAACTTCACTTCAGGGCGTTTCGGAACTCAAAGTTGCGGGGATGTCTCAGGCTAAAGTGGCCGGGCCACCATGGGGCACGGCACTTCCGAGATCAGAGTTGCGAGGATATCTCAAGCGAAAACTGCCTGAACACCTCACCCCAGGGCGTGTCGGAACCCAGAGTTGCGACGATGTCTCAAGCGAATGTAGATCGTACTGTGAAGCGTCCCAGTGGATACGTGCCGGAGCACGACCCAGAGGAAGCGCACGGGAGTGCGTCCCAGTGGATACGTGCGGGGGCACGACCCAGAGGAAGCGCACGGGAGTGCGTCCCACTGGATACGTGCCGGAACACGACACAGAGGAAGCGCACAGGGTGCGTCCCAGTGGATACGTGCCGGAACACGACCCAGGGGAAGCGCACAGGAGTGCGTCCCAGTGGATACGTGCGGGGGCACGACCCAAAGGAAGCGCACAGGGGTGCGTCCCAATGGATACGTGCCGAACACGACCCAGAGGAAACGCACAGGGTGCGTCCCAGTGGATACGTGCCGGAACACGACCCAGAGGAAGCGCACACGGGTCCGTCCCAGTGGATACGTGCCGGGGGCACGACCCAGAGGAAGCGCACAGGGTGCGTCCCAGTGGATACGTGCGGGGGCACGACCCAGAGGAAGCGCACAGGGTGCGTCCCAGTGGATACGTGCGGGGGCACGACCCAGAGGAAGCGCACAGGGGTGCGTCCCAGTGGATACGTGCCGGGAATAGCGCTCTGGGAACACGACGAACACGAAGTGGCCTATAGTTGGCACCAGGCACTCAAAATGTGTCCTGGGAGTGGTGTTTTGGGAACACGAATTCACTCGCAATTCACTCACGGACGAGGCTCCCGCCTGAGACTTCCTCCATATTCAAGCCTGAGGAGCCCAAAAATTGACGACAGTTACAGGAATCCGACGACGCGTTCGGACTACTGAAATGATCTGCGGGCCCCATAGGGAGGGGGCTACCGCCTGAAACTTCCTCGCAACTCACTCAGAGACGAGGCTCCCGCCTGAGACTTCCTCCAGATTCAAGCCTCAGGAGCCCAAAAGTGACGACAGTTATAGGATCCCGATGACCCGCTCGGATTAGTAACATGATCTGCGGGCCCCATAGGAAGGGGCTCCCGCCTGAGACTTCCTCGCAATTTACTCACAGGCGAGGCCCCCGCCTGAGACTTCCTCCAGATTCAGGCCTCAGGAGCCCAAAAGTGACGACAGTTACAGGATCCCGATGACCCGCTCGGATTAGTTTTTATTCTGCAAGGTTACCTCACGGTGTCTCAAGAAAGCTATACACTGACTCACACTCTGCATTGATCTGCTGACTACACCCCAAATAGTGCGAAGGGGCAACAGCGTCATACGCGTGCAAATCCTATGCATTTACCCTCTCGCGTGCACGCACTGGAGACTGCAAGCGGGCGGGCGTGGCCTCTCCGTCGAGCTTCGCGTCGCGCCTCGCGATCGGCGAGGTCGAGCGCTGACACAGTCTCTGGCGGGAGGGGAGGAGGAGCGGCACGCATCAGTTGCGCCCAGCAGCGCCGACGTCGACGATCCGATAAATGTGCTATGCATCGCAATCTCTGCTTAAAAAACAGTCTTGCATACAGGACAAATACCACGCTCATCTACATACAGACGGGCAGGGCATCTGAGCATGCGTTTCGTACGCTGGTGCATCTTCAACGCCTTACTGGTGAGAAAGGCAAGGCGATTTGGACAGATGCCACAGACAAACGGAAGCGCGGTCTCCCCTGAGGGGGGCTGCCCTTGCGTCGTTGACGACGGCGATACATATGACGCATCACAAACAGATGTGCAAAAAAAGATTCGCTGCACTCGTTCCCTCCAGGACGCAAGATCTTGCAAGATAAACTCGTACCAAACGCACGCATACAGGATGGGATCGGGAAGCAGGGAGAAGGCGGGAACGCGTCTCCATACCAAGCTCAGGTCATCCTGAAGCTGCCTGACCCAATCAAGGGCCTTCTTGTTATGACGGAACTGTAGGACAGCCTGGAGCGGGCCTGGTGCAAAGTGGACTAGACGACCGAAATACAGCAGCCGTTTCCGCAGCAACAGGCAGTCCAGGGAAGGTCGGCCCAACTGCTCACGAATGCGAACGTCTGAAAACCTGGCCTCGCCGAAGTTGGGATCGCCCACAATGCGTCGAAGGATGCGCATGTGTGGGCCGTTGAGCACGCGAATGTACTCAGGCGTGCAATACACGATGTGGCCATTGAACAACAACCTACCATGGACGAGGAGGGAGTCAGCGAGCGCGAGACGGACACTCTGACACAGCTCGGTGGCACCAAATGGGAAGCACAAAGACATACTAGTACTGTATGTCCTCCTTGGAGGCGCGCGTCCGACCCGAACATATAGTATACCCATCTTGTAGTATATCGCTTCCTGAGCGGTGTGGCCAGAAAGCGCCCCCCACGACGCATATACTATAAGATTTCTCGGTGCGCGCGTCGCCTCCGGGGGGGCGAAGCACATATAGTATAAGTATGTTAGGGTGATGCCGACCAAAACCTTGACAGGCAATACGAACGTAGGCGCTCATGGTTTGCGAAATCTCATGATCGAAGTCTCGCTTCAGAGGACCACCAGGAGTCGCGACACACCCTAGATGTTTGTACTCATCGACTACACGCACAGAGATAGCAAACTCTGGAAACTTGAAACAGCGCTGATTTCCGCATTTCAATCGAGCATAATGCTTGCTACTCTGCTTACCTCTGTACACTACCATGCACTCTGACTTGCCAGGCTTCCAACTGATTTCTAGAGCAAACG